CACCTGGCGGTCTGAGTGTCTCCCACCCTCCGCTAGAAACATCTCCTGTTTGCAGACGGCAACGTCCAAAGGGCAGGAGGGCGAGAGCGGAGAGGAAACCACCCACCTTTGCTCCTTTCAGGGTGGTGTCCCGATTAAGCTGTTTGTGTTTCAGGAACATGAATTATTGTTTTAAACAGAAATGTATGGTTTTTCACTCAGTGCTCTAAGTAAAATGGATTTTTTTTAGTTCAGTCTCTATGCCTTTGTATTAGGAAACGCACGGGTTATTTTCTAACTGCACCAAACGTACAAGCTTTTATGGCATTAAAAATATGGCAACATTAATAATACATCTGTTAAACAAGTATGACTTACTGTCATTGGCCTTCTCACTTGTCTCTGACTTTTAAGCAGAAATAACAAAAAGCCCTCCCAGTCAAAATATCTCACCATTTCATATTTGGGTTTTTTTAAACAGAAAAACACAACAAAACAAGTAAAGCAGAAATGTTGCTTTAATTCTACAGTTCAAATCTGATATAAATTCATTCAGATTCGTTGCCAAATCCTCAATCTGCCTTTTGGATCATAACAAAGTCACTAAAAAGCAGACATTTATGCCATAAATTTCTTAGGCAAACTTAAAAAAAAAAGGCACTATAACTTACCAATGTCGTTGCTTCTTTCAGAGGAGTCTTTCTCTAGAGTGCCGGACACTGCACTGCCCACTAACTCCACTTTCGGACTGTCACTCCTACAGTTGGAAAAACAAGAGGAGACATTTTACTGGAGTTTGTGTGGGGGCTTCAGTAAATTGATAGCTAACTTGCAGTTAATGAAGAGAAAGGGAAATATTCTTCCTGTGTAGCACTGGCGTTACAGCACCCTGTCAGGGAGAGCAATCTCCGGTAAGCAGACATGCTCTGCGGATTAACCTTATCTCATTTCTCTTTAACACCTGTCAAAAAAGCCTATTTTAGACACCGTAGCGTCCTGAACAATTCTTCAAATGTTCACAGCATCCCAACACGAAGGAAATCTAAGGGCACAGGGACATCCTTCAACATCTTATTTGTACTTGTTTCTAATTAATTGGCTTGCATAAACGATAGTGATGGGTGACCCAGAATACTGTAGACAAAGGAGAGAAAATTCATGCTAAGATAATGGGTTTCAGCACTTCCTAGTGCTTACTCATAAACGCAGCTCCTTCACCAATAAAAGATTCTTACTTATTTTTGCACGTTGCTTACAAGATTAGACTATGAAATCTGTTCCCACAAGTCCAAAGAAACAAGATGACCTCATCTGTCTGAAAAGGCTTTGGAATACACAAGCGTCAAAAAAGCTGTGATACTTTATAGAGAGGAACTATTTTTAAATCTAACAGGAATTCATACATAAGCAACATTATTTTTCTTTCTTCGGAGAACTTTCTATCCTGCAATTATTTAAGTCTACAGAAATAATCTGGCTACTGAAACTTTTTTTTTAAAAAGAGGGCCAGTGGTACATAAGTAGCTCTGCATTGCACAGCTCACACAAACAACTCTCTGTGACATTTACTGTGATATCTCAAGAAAACAACAGCTCAATTACTGCAATAAATTGTGTTAACCGTTATGAAACATTACCAGGCAGCTTTGCAAATATCGTAGTTTTTTCCAAAATAACTATCTCCAACATAGTGCTACAAGAATTACGTGTGCACAGAACAATGGGCTTTGGGTAAAAATATTGCTTGTCCCTGAGACAGCCCACCTAGATGGTGCATTCCTAAAAACAGCAATAATTAGCCATTGACAAGAAAATATGATGTGCGCTTCCAAGCCCTGTTGATTTTTCATTCCTCTCTGCTTTTGATGCCATAAGCTGGTGAGGGACCGCCTGAACTCAGGACAGCAGTTAATGAGTCAAACATAAAGGGACTGCAAAACCAGTTTCAGACTTTAAGAAGGCTATGATAGATTAAAAAAAGAAAAAAAGAAAATTTGTTTTAAAAACTAGAGGAGGTCACAGATTAAGTGAACTTATACCCAATTAAATACTGTGGTAGGGTGACACATATTCTAAGACCCAAAAAAGATGGACAGCCAGTTCACAGCCTGGAAAACAAACTAGTGTTGCACAATTATCAGTATGGCAGACAGTTTGCACCAAGAAAGAAACGGAAGAAATTTAACATATTTCTGGAACAATGAACTGATGTGTAAGATGATATATGAGGGTATTCCAAGTGACCTACCCAATTAGTTAATTTCCCTATGTCTTTGTCTTTTAGGTTTTTTTTTTCTCCTAATGGCTTATATATTTGTAAATATTTGAGAAGCAACATAGTTTCTTTCCTGACATGGCCACTGAGCAACTGACCACGTACTCTGTTCTGCACATTCGTATTTCCTAGCAAAGTGAGAGCATCACATGAGTCAGGAGCGCTCTAGCAAAATACATGCAATACAGCAAATACTGTTTTGGAGGAGAGTCTTAGGTTGGTGTGATTCAGAGCTGAAAGTTGTAACGTTTACAATTTGAATACCAAAAAAATCAAGACATCTGACATCACAAAAAAACCCCCCACCCCACCTCTGGTGTCAAAAGAATCAACAGGCTTATGCCAATCTATATCCCTACTGCTACAAAAGGCATAAAGCCATCCCTCCTTGGTCACAGCGTCTCCCTCCCTCATGTTGCCACTAAAGCCTATGAAGATAGGCTGTCAGGTTGATCACACAGAGGATCAGCCTGAAAGAAAACTCACGCCAATAGAAATCCCCTTGCAAACTGATTAATTGCCATCTGGACCA